TTAGAAATGTTGCCTTCGAAAGTTTTTTTTTGTTTGTTATATTATTTTTTTATATTTATTAAAGCTTTTATTCTATTTTCATTTTGATTTTAGTGGTTATGTAATTTTATAGGTTTTTGTTTTTAAATATGCCTGTATAGTTTTTTTTATATTAATTTTTATTTAAATTTGAGTTATTTTAGTTAAACAAACTGAAATTATTCTTGTTGGTTTAATTTTAAAAAGAAAGTAACCTGGTTGTCTTAACATTTTGAGTTCATTAAAAACTAAAAATTCACATTAATACAAAGAAAGAGATTAGATTTATAAACAGAAACTCAAAATAAGTTGATTTGCTGTGATATATATATATATATAAACATGCACCCAAACTGACTTTCTTAATTGGCATTCCTGGTTTTATTGAGAATGACTCATCAGTGCATGTAAATATTAAGAGAAAAATGCCTTCTTACCTGAAATCTTTCATCAAAATGCATGATCTTGTTCCAGCTCTGAAATGACTTTTCTTTTCATTGACGTCATCGATCTGCTGGTCAAAGAGAGACACATTCCTGATGGACGTCCTGCTCCAGATCTATGAATATCCTTATGCAAGTAAAACGAGAAGAAAATGCTGTTTTAATATCATCATCACGATCAAAAGTTAGAGATCAGTATGCTTTTTCTTTTTTATGAAATTAATACTTTTAATCAAGGATGCATTAAATTGATAAAAAATGGCAGTAAAGACATTTATCACGTTACAAAAAAGCATCACAGTTTTGACAAAAATATTTAGCAGCGCAATTGTTTTCAACCAGGGTTATTATTTAACTAAAACCATTAAAACAAACATGTTCATTACTTGAAATAAAATAAAATATTAAAACACGTAAACTTATTTTATGTCAGCATATTTCAACATTTCCCATTTTCATACACTGTAGCTTAGAACTAAATAAACTAGAACTAAAAACTAAAACACAACAGTTTTCAACCTTGAAAATTATAAAAAGTTACTTTCAAATGAGCAAATTAGAATGTTATTAAATGGTGAAAATCAGCATATTAGAATTATTTCTGAAGAATCATGTCACACTTTAGACTGGAGTAATGATGCTGAAAATTCAGCTTTGATCACATAAAGAAATCACATTTCACTATATATTTACATAGAAAACAACTATTTGAAATTGTAATAATATTTCACAGTCTTTTGCTTTATTTTTGATCAAATAAATGCAGCCTTGGTGAACATAAGAGGCTTTTAAAGATCTTATCAATCCCAAACTTTTGAACATTGAATTAACCACGTCATGACCAAAAACATGCTACTAAAGCAGTACTTTTTTTTTTTTTTTTTTTTTTGTAGGGCACAACAGCAGTTTTCCTCATTCAAGGTTCATCTCAGCGTTTTCACAGGTGTGTTTGTTCATTCACTAGAAACGATATGTTCTGTTTTTGTGCCATTGCACATGACTGCCCTGTTGAAATCCTCACACAGCGTCAGACGGCTCTGGAGAACAGCGGCAAACATGAGCGTTAACATGCGATTCACACACACACACACACACACACACACACGCCTACTGAGTGAACATCACTACCTGTACAGTCACTTTTACACACCACTGTACCTCAGTGATGAATCAAGCTGATTAAACTGATGTGGGTCATTTTGCATTTCTAGAAACTAGATTGTAACGTGATGCAAAACCTAAAAGCCTAAAAGGGTTTTAAAAAAACATTATACATTAGTAATATCTTTCTTTGTTTCATCACTTGAACAGCATCCAGCACACAGCATCACTTACTCACCAATGGATCCTCCGCAGTGAATGGGTGCCATCAGAATTTTAGTTAAAAACATCTTAATGATGGATTTGTTCGCAGATTTTGTCTTCTCAACATGTTATCTGATGGATTACTTGTGGATTATTGTGAGGTTTTTATCAGCTGTTTGGACTCTCATTCTGACGGCACCCATTCACTGCAGAGCATCCATTGGTGAACAAGAGATGCAATGCTACATTTCTCCAAATCTGATGAAGAAACAAACTCATCTACATCTCGGGTGGCCTGAGGATGAGCACATTTTCAGCAAATTTCTGGTTGAACTATGCCTTTAATAAAACGTGCTGTACTTCCAAAGAAGCCTGTCAATGAAGGACCAAAAAAATCCAGAAGCAAAGCGTTTAAAGCCAATAAGAGACGAGTCTCCGGAGACGCTCGACTGCTCCTGCTATTGTCAGTGAAGTCAGGTAGCTGAGAGATCAAACCGTGCCCCCCCCTGTGGCCTATATAAAGTTGAGATTAGTCTTGTTCTTTTGCAATTAGCCCACATTTCACTTTCCCTGTGCTGAGCAATCTAATAAAGCGATGTGCTCCAGCTCAACCATCTCTCCAGCGCGGGTTACCGCTGATCTGCATGCATGAGTGACGGCGCACGCAAACGACATCAGCGAGAGAGAGATTGCATCCAGAATACATCTTCATTTTCAGGTCATTCAAGCATTAGGATTCTGGAAATGTACCTGAGCGAGTGCATGTGAGCTACGGCTTATAGACACGCAAATATTCTCCATCCTCAGCTTGACAGCACGGTTTAAAGGCTTAAATATACTCATAAATGCATACATAAACACTGATATATTACTGTATGTACATAAGTGGTTGAATTAATTTTAAGATAAAAACCATCCAGATTTAAAGTTTAGATGGAGAAAGGTGCTGTACACGAGAATTTGATGTAGAAACCATTTTCACTCAGAAATAAATTACACAATTAATTACAAAGAAAAGGCAAGTAACACACCGTATTAAACAAGAAATTGTGAAGTAGAAAGACTGAAATAGTATTTCAGCAGTTCAAAATTTTCACAATCAACATGAAACATTTTTTACAAAGCCATTTTTACTTCCATAACGTGACATATGGGAGTTACATTCAACAGATAATATGCAAGACTTGCTCAAATTTATCTACAAGCATAAGGATTTAAACATTTCAATGAATGTACAAGGAAAAGAGCACTGTGAATACACTTTTGTTTGTTTGTTTTTTTACATTTTCAAATAAAACAAAAACTATTGGAGTATGTCTTACAAGAAAATACTATTTCAGTCTTTTTACTTAGAAATTTCACATTTAAATCAATGTGTTACTTGCTGTTTTTCCGTTATTATTTGTCAAATTTAATACCAATTTCTGAGTGAAAATTGTTTCAAAGTAAATTCAATATACTGTATATATTTTTTAATTTAATCTGTAAAAAATATCAAATATATGTCTTTTAGGAGTTACACTACTGCTCTTTTACTTTTATTCAGCAAGGACACATTCAATTGATCAAAAAATAAATTTCAACAATAATAATCAGAAATGTTTCTTGAGCAGCAAATCAGCAAATTAGAATGATTTCTGAAGGATCATGTGACACTAAAGACTAGAGTAATGATGATGAAAATTCAGCTTTGCATCACAGCAATAAATTATACTTTACTGTATATTCACAGAAAACAGTTATTCTAAATTGCAATATATTTCACAATATTACTGCTTTTACTCTATTTTCAGTCAAATAAATGCAAGCTTGTTAAGCATAAGAGACACTTGTACAGAACAGTAGAGTATACTGACAAAAAAAAAAAAATACTGAAGAATTCGTTCGAGTGCTTTAAAAAAAAAAAAGAGCTTTACATTTCTGCTAATAAACTCTGACCCCAATTTCCATCATTATAGATGTGCCTCCTGTTCCTTCATCCAAACTGAGAGAAAGTCGAAATGATTGTCTGTATTAACTGACAGATGCTGCTCATAGACATTGAGCTGAACATAACTAGGAATATTTATTTCTTTAAATGAGAAGTAGAACAGCTGTAATATGAAAATTCAACAACAGGACTCACTCTCAAGTGCAATCTCAGAAGTAAGCAAGTTCAGAGAGGAGTAATCGCTTTCTCTCGGCTCCTCAGGCTTTTAATCACAGCTCTTTGTGCGCTGTTTCCACATACACCTGCCTTAAATATTTCTGAAGTCAAACTCCGCTTTGACCGGATTTATAAGTGTTTATACCCAGAAAAAAAAGCAAAAAAAAAAAAGCACTGGCCTCTTAGCTGAAGGCTGAGGTTCTCACGTGATGTTCTCCAGGGAAAACTACAAGTCTTTGAATACTCCACTTCAAACTTCATGATGTTCTTCCAGTGTTTTGTTTGACCTTTCTTTAAAAAAAAAACAGCCTGTCCTTTCTGGAAAAGAGAAAAGAAAGCTTAAAGCACACTCATGTTGTTCCAAACACACTTTTTATTCTTTGGTGCATCTCAGAAGACGACACAAGTGACTACAGACACACTCATGAAAAAGCAGTTGTACCTACCACATATTGCACAGACATAAAACAAGTATGCACTGTAAAAAAGTACGTTTTAAGAAAACATGAATTCAGTCAACTTGATGAATCATTACATAAAATCACGTGATCTCAATAAGGAAAGCTTCGCTACGTTTCAGAGGTTCGCCGCTCTGTGTCAATCTCTGTATGAACCAGTGTCTTACCCAATCTTATATCAGTTTTAGACATTTTAATGACGCAAAACATTTGCAGTCGGTTTGTAAAATGTGTTTTATTCATGTCTGAACTGAGTTTTAGTTGCATTTACTTAATTTTGACCAGCAGGTGTCATCAGCGAGTGGCATTTCATGCGCGTCGAATCAGCGAATCACTTTGTAACGCAACTGATTCAGAGTTTCGAAAAGCTTTGTTTCTCCCATCACTATAGAGGGTATGCACTGATGTCACTTTCCCGCCAGAACACTCCCAATCAGCCGGACTGGGTGGCAAAAGAGCCTACTGCATGACTGGATTTAATAGAGAAGCTGCAAAAATGCGAGTAAAACAAACGATAATCAATTCAAACTAAAGGTTGTTGGTCTTGATATAGTGCCCCTTACAACTTACCAAAGACCCAGTGGCCCATGGATATTGATATGCAGCCAGAAATCGTGTGTCCAGACATTTATATGTGCCTGATTTAGATGCCGGGGAATGACATTGTCATGCTTACGTGCTGGAATGAAGACAGAAGAGCGTTCTTTTTAATAAATCCACAAGGAAAGATGAAGGGAATATCCACACACAAAGGGTAACCACATGCAATAACCAACAACTCAGAGAACTAAAGGAAGGGAATTTATACAAACGGAAGAGGAACTAATGACTAATTAACAAGACACAGGTGAAAGGAGGGTAACTAATAAAGACATAACTAGGACAGGAACAGGAACGGCCAAATATGGGCACATGAGGGAGAAAAACACAACCAAACGTCCAATACAGTGACAGCCCCCCGGACTTAGGAGAAGGACAAAGGAGTGGATGTGGGATGGTGACAGGGGATGGCGCTGGGCTTGCAGGAAGGCAGGCGGACAACCCAGGTGGAGGTTTGGGCGGAGGACAGACTCCCGTGAGGAAGACGGTGAACAGAGTCCAGGGTGGAGACGACGGAGGGAGGAGCCATGGAGGAAACAGGAGGAGCCAGGGCGAATAAGACTGAGGGAGGAGCCAGGGAGAAGACAGGAGGGACTTGGAGCAGGAGGAGCCAGGCGGGACCCAGGCCGCA